CCCAGCCCACAGTGAGGCCAGACACAGCTTGTTAGGCTACTGCACTTCCCATCGCTGCTCCCACGGGCTCCCCGTGCCACTCTGTCTCAGCTTGTAGCCTTGTAATAAATTGGTGTTTGTGTGTACTGATGACTCAAGCTGCTGTGTGAAGGAGACCGAGACATGGAGGTAATGAATGATGTAACATAGTTGGAGAGTATAAGACATGGCTGAACTAACAACGTCATCTGATAGCGTGCGGTTGGTGGTGCGCCTCACACACTGTAGCATTATTGTAGTCTCTCTGGTGCTTGAATTGTCGTATTGAAGAATAAAAAAAACAGGACGAGATGGTAGGTGATGGCAGTGGTGTTGGATAACTCGTGCAGTCAAATCACCACACGACTAACTTTGAATTCTGCAGGTGATTCGTAAAGCCAAAAAAAAGTTAGTGAACGTGGCGAAGACTCAAAGAGTTTAAGAAATGTACAATCTCTCTGTCCTCCAAGACGGAAATACCCTTCAGAGGACATTTTAAAACCTTCAGAAATGTTAATTAAATATGTTTGTGGGTAGAGAAGGGCGGCCTCAGTTTGTGTTGGGAGCTGGCCCGGTGCCAGTCTGGCTAGCTCCTAGTGCCTTCCTACCTCTCTTGTCACCACCCATATTATTGCTGAATGTTTCAAGCAGATATCAGTATTTTGCCTCGACGCCAGGGAGTGTGGCAACACAGTCACGGATCCTAGTGTTGACGAGTGACACTCGCAGGGAGGACCAGTATTACCTTTGGCACAAGCAACGACGCATCAGGTACTTCTGCCGGCCCCTATACTTTCCCTGCCTTCTCCTTCCCTATGCTTCCTTTGCCCTTGACTTCCCTTGCGCCCCTGTGCTTCCCTTGCCCGTGCCTTGCGACCCTGTGCTTCCCTTGCCCGTGCCTTGCGCCCCTGTGCTTCCCTTGCCCGTGCCTTGCGCCCCTGTGCTTCCCTTGCCCGTGCCTTGCGCCCCTGTGCTTCCCTTGCCCGTGCCTTGCGCCCCTGTGCTTCCCTTGCCCCTGCCTTGCGACCCTGTGCTTCCCTTGCCCCTGCCTTGCGACCCTGTGCTTCCCTTGCCCCTGCCTTGCGACCCTGTGCTTCCCTTGCCCCTGCCTTGCGACCCTGTGCTTCCCTTGCCCCTGCCTTGCGACCCTGTGCTTCCCTTGCCCCTGCCTTGCGACCCTGTGCTTCCCTTGCCCCTGCCTTGCGCCCCTGTGCTTCCCTTGCGACCCTGCGCTTCCCTTGCCCCTGCCTTGCGACCCTGTGCTTCCCTTGCCCCTGCCTTGCGCCCCTGTGCTTCCCTTGCCCCTGCCTTGCGACCCTGTGCTTCCCTTGCCCCTGCCTTGCGACCCTGTGCTTCCCTTGCCCCTGCCTTGCGCCCCTGTGCTTCCCTTGCCCCTGCCTTGCGACCCTGTGCTTCCCTTGCCCCTGCCTTGTGCCCCCGTTGTTTTCCATTGCTTGCACCGCCTTGTCTGCTCCAAGGTTCACTGGGTGTCATCAACAATTAGAGAAGAGTGTAAACATCAGAGGCCCAGAGCAATTCACCAGTCTCTTATCTGTTGTGTACCTGTTGTTGGGCCCCGGAATCGATGTCTCCGCGGCCCGGTCCGGCCTTCTGGTTGATCTGGTCAACCAGGCTGTTGTAACGCCTGCTACCATTGTAACCCCCAACCTGATACCATTGTACCACTGTAGGTTTACACACTGCTGCTCATATCTACTTGATGGGCTAGTTCTTCTATTCCCCAAGCCTGGGGAGTAAATATATTTCATAATATACATGATATATCATAAGTATTTCCTTAAATTGTGTAAACAATGTTTACAGTAGAGTGTAACCTGGTGGTACTTGTGTCTCACAGAACCAATGGTACGGTCAAGGAAATGATTTTTCTTAATTCAAAGGAGAGACTGGCTGCCACCACCTCCATTACATTGGTTACTACAAGAGTATTGATAGTTACCAAGTAGGGGATCACCAGTGGGTCATGGGGGGGGGCACCGCGCCCTGTTGACTTTAATTACTACTGAGAGATTTCTTCTTTAGAGGTAACCGGTTACCGAGTTATGTTAAACATTTTAATGCTGGGGACTAGGAAGGCTCTACAAGGAGGGTCACCGTCCTCGATGACACACCAGAGATGACAAAGGGTGAAACTAGTGACACATAAAGATGGAATATAACAAGATTTTATTGAATCGAAATAAGGATATTCACCAAACATCTCTAAGTTACTCCTACACTGGCAATGGGTAAGTAATTTAGACGTGGACAATAATATGAGATATCACACGTTATCTTGGACCACACTGGAGAATGACTCCGTGTCCTCCACCTGGGTCTTGATGACACGGCTCTGCTCCCGCCGCTCTCCTCAGGTACTCTTAATCCTAGCATCTGTTGTTATAGATTCACCTACTCGGACAAGTTGCAAGTAGCACGGGCTATGGTGAGCCCGTAGTGGACTTACCTGGCACAGGAGCGGACTGTCCTATTATCATACACCGCTGGTATATATACCAGGAATTGCCCCAACTAGTGTCAGCAGTTTTTTTTTTTTTTTTTTTTTTTAGCTTGACAGCTACAAGTGGATGACTTGTGGTGTCTGCTCCCCGCACCTGCATTTTGAAAATATCACACTTGGCATTCTATAGGAATTTCTAATTAAAAGCTGTTTGACATGAGCTTTTTCCAAACTATCTCGTAACTAATGAAGGGGGGCTTCCCACAGCCTGGTTGATCAGGTATTCTTTTGCAGGCGTTTTAAAATGATCCTTTGAACATACAGAAATCACAATAGCGTGATGCATCTGACGAGGATTTGAACCTACGTCCGAGATCATCCCAGACGCTGCCTTAATAGCTCAGTCGATTAAGGCAGCGTCCGGGATGCTCTCGGACGTAGGTTCGAATCCTCGTCACGGCCCTTGTGTATTTATTCATTGATCCTTTGAAGACTGTGAGAGGTGTGCTAGTTATGCCCCATGTGCTTAGAGGGAGTGTTTTGACAAGTGTCAGCGTCTTGTGTTGATAAGATTGGCTTCCCACAAACACGCTTAAGAAATGTTTGGAACAGCAGAGACCTTCAAGATAATTGGACAAGTTTCTGCTAGTGTTGCCTGGCTGATCAATAGCCTAGAGGCCCACATAGGCCTGGGCTACGAAGATAACCCACAGACCAGGCTTGACAGTATAACAACTTTCAATAGCAAATTAAACAGGCATGCCCCCCCCCCCCCCACACACACACTTGCATGATGCAGATTTGATATCCAATTGCGCAGTATTTGACATGGGCCTAATAAAAAAAATGTATTACTACTGTATTGTCGAGAATCCGGCTACTGTAATGAGTACGGTGCTGCTTTTTTTGTATATATAGCGGCTTGAGGCCTATCAAGAGGTCACAAGAGCTGTACTAACAAGCAAGTATACTTTAAACTTTACCTTACAGTTACAGACAAGTGTATACAGAGAAGTGGTCAGAGGACGCACCCAGCACGTGTGGTGGCGCGTCTCCACCACCGCCACTCATAAATAGTGTATCACTTGTCCATTTGTGAAGACGTTGAGTCAGGCGGAAGTTGGTGTTGCACCAAGGTTATAGGACGTCTCGGCGGACTCCAGTGAAGATATAACCACATAGGTAATGTGATAGTGGTGAGGGGGGGGGGGAGTTGAACACGAGAGTCAGGCGAGGGTCAGTCCAGCAACCAGGAGGCCTGGTCGACGACCGGGCCGCGGGGACGCTAAGCCCCGGAAGCACCTCAAGGTAACCTCAAGGAGGGGGGGGGGGGACACCAGTGGCTACAACTACCATTCCAGTCCTGCTCAAGATGTACGGTTGTAACATCTGTTTGTCGTTAGTCAGCTGTTTAAGACTTGCTGCTGCCTTTTATTCCCTCCACTATTTCCCGCGCCCCTCCATGTGCAAATGTTGTTGAAATATAATACTAGTTCCCATTTACATTATGCAGTTCGGTATTTGCCCCTCCCCGCCCGCTAAAATATTTTGTTAAAGGTACAGAGAAAGACGATCTCCTCCCTAAAATCATAGTAATGTACTTATAATAAGTATTTGGTCGAAAGTACAGAGATACTGTTGGAGCTCAAAATATTCAGACATAGTACTACATCAGACGTAGTAGTGTACGAAATACATTGGCAAAAACAAAATCAAACATGTTGACCAGACCACACACTAGAAGGTGAAGGGACGACGACGTTTCGGTCCGTCCTGGACAATTCTCAAGTCGATTGTGACAATAGATTTGAGAATGATCCAGGACGGACCGAAACATCGTCGTCCCTTCACCTTCTAGTGTGGGGTCTGGTCAACATACTTTAGCCACGTTATTGTGACTCATCGCCTGCAAAATCAAAGATCCCTAGGCCTAATGCAGTGCACATGTACTATACACACAGAGATCACACTAACGTGATGCATCAAATGAACAAATCCACAAGGGCCGTGACGAGGATTCGAACCTGCGTCCGGGAGCCATTTTAACCCTGTCGTAGCTCAGTCGATTAAGGCAGTGTCTGGATGTTCCCGGACGCAAGTTCGAATCCTCGTCACGGCCCTTGTGGATTTGTTCACATGTACTATAGTTGGCGTTGGAGCGTATATTGGGCCTTGCGTGCTTTGTAGAGATGCAAGGTGAGGTTCCTTAGTTTGATATTTTTTTTTTAATGTCATTTGGGTTATTTCAGTAATTCAAAACGTGGACTTGTTTGGTCCATTTGTCAAGTGGTCGTTCGTGTGAAGAAATAGTTGGTGCAAGTACTATCATTGCTGGAGAAAGATGACAAAACTAGTGCCGGGAATTAGAAACCTCTTAGGGAAAGATTGTGACAATGCTAGATTTAGTCCTGGAAAGACGAAGAGTAATGGATATGATTGAACTGAACAAATGGGTAAAAGAATATAACAAAGGTAGTATTAATGTGGTACTAAATATATAAAAACAAAATGACACGAAGTGATGGATGCAAATTGGGTAAGTATAGATTCAGAAAAGACCTGGATAAATACTGGCTTGTAAATAGTTGTAGATTTCTGGAACTAATTACTAGGTCCAGTAATACGTGTGGTGTAGCTGGATTGTTTCAAGCGTAGGTTGCTGGTATGCATTAGTTTTGGTAGGGATATAAATAGGTATTGAACGTAGGCCAATAGGCCTTCTGTATTTCCCTTTATCCCCCCCCCCCCCCCACCAGCCTCGCCTCACCCTCACCTTTCTATTTCTTTTTCCATTACGTGTAAAGTTGTAGTGTATATCCTGGCAGCGTCTGTCCCTTTTGCATCTTTCATTTCCCCTCTGCAATGTTGCAAGAGTTAAACATTTACGGAGTGAAGGTGTCCCATCTGGGCGTTGTAATTGAAACATTGACATTGTAATTGGTTGCATACTCGCTGTTATGTTTGTATGTGTAGGGGGGGGGTGCATGCTGGTAGACCCCAGGGAGGAATGTGGCAGTTACTGGCGAGGTGGCAACTCTAGCTTCTCCCTCGCCTTCCTGCTTCAAGTTTAAAGACCCGAAGTGTGGCACACGATACCCGGCCCGCGGGCGGGCGGGCGGGCGTGGTGGTGGTGTACTTGTTGCCGTGTAGTAGTCTAGTTGTGCTGGTGGGGGTTGAGCTTCAGGTCCTTCGGGCCGCCTCTCAGCTGTCACATGTGTAGTGGTGTAGGGGGGCCACACGTGTGGTGGGGGGGTTGCCTTGGTTCTGGCATTACTTGTGGTGCCACTAGCTAATTACTAGTTATTTTACTAATCACTACAAGTAATACTAATTACTAGTTAGTGGCACTTAACACTAGTAGTTAAAAGTTTGACTGTAGCATGTGTTTCTCACTCCATCCACCCAGTCTATTGGTCATCAGGTCGGCGTAGTTCTTGGGCTCCGTAACATTGTTAATCTTATGAACAAATCCACAAGGGCCGTGATGAGAGTTAAGGCGCGTCTGGGATCATCCCGGACGTAGGTTCGATCCCTCATCACGGTCCTTGTTGATTTGTTCATGTGATGCATCATGCTATTGTGATTTATGTGTGTATTGTTAATATTATACGGCGGGTGAAAGGTTTTGTACGGACACACATTGGTGGTTATCGTGATGTCCGTCTGGTCTGGGACTACAAGGTCCAAGTTTCTTTATCCTGTTATGTGGGTGGGATACCAGGAGTACTCTGCTCATGTGGGAGTTTGTGCACGTCTTGGAGCGGACCGTTGGTTGGTTTGTGGGTGGGTCCCCGCCTCACCGGGTGGGGAGGGGCGGTGGGTGCACATGCGTGTATTGAATGTGTTGTTTATAATGTCACGGGGGGATGGGGGGGTGGACATAAAGTGGCTCTCCATGTTTACAGTTTCTTCCAGTCGTCCTGGTGGCCACACTGCAAACTTTGCTCCATTCCGTCCGCAGGGATAACCATATTTAATATAAATGCCTGTTATTTTATTTTTATTTGTTTGCTTTTTCAATTGCAGTTGATCATTACAGGCTGGCGTAAATCTTGCTCTATAAGTTAACATTTGTTTGGAGAGTTGGTCTCTACTCTTGCATGTCGGCGGCGCTGTTTGATTATTTTAGTTGATGGTGAGAGAGCATCGACCTCCGAGCCGGGTCTTGCCCAGTCATACCAGAGGGAGCGTTAAGGGTTCAACTCTGCAACACTTGTTAATGCAATTGTTATTAGTGTTCATGGTGTGGTGTTGCTGTATGATGGTCTAGTCTGCCTCACTACTGCTGCTTACCTGTCACTCTTGAAGGTGTCTCCACCTGGCCTTTGTGCTGTGCATTTCTCTGGGGCAACATCACTTGGGTGCTCAGGTGTGTGGGAGGGAAGGGGTGGGGTTGAGAGGTGTGGGGGTCCCAGCGTGGGGGTAATGTGTGTGTCGGGGTGGAAGCTGCGTCGTTACTTTTCTGTTCCCCTTCCGGGTCCTCAAGGTTTATTTCTCGATTACCTATTGACGCTTCTGAGGATGATCGTCCCCGCGGCCCAGTTTTCGACCACGCCTCTTTGTTGGTGGTCTGGCCAACCAGGCTATTCGACGCCGTTGCTCACAGCCTCACGTGACTCACAAGCTGGTTGGTCGGGTATTCTTTGGAGGTGTTTATCCAGTTCTCTCTCGAACACTGTGAGGGGTCGGCCAGTTATGTCCCTTATGTATACGGAAGCGAAACAGTCTTGGGCCTCTGAAGTTGATAGTTCTGAGTACCTGTTTTATCTTGGAGAATAGTTTGGCAGCCAATTGTAATTTTGGAAAATTGTCACTTACCTGAATAACATCGATTTATTAGTCGTTGAAAAAAGAGAATAAACCTCTAGGTTCAAATAAGATGAATTTGTGATGTTAGAGACGGAGAGACTTGTCACGTACTGATGTGGGACACGAGGACTGTGGGTGGGTGTGTGGCGGGGGTGGTAGTGGAGGAGGGAAGCCTGGCGGGGGTGGTAGTGGAGGAGGGAAGCCTGGCGGGGGTGGTAGTGGAGGAGGGAAGCCTGGCGGGGGTGGTAGTGGAGGAGGGAAGCCTGGCGGGGGTGGTAGTGGAGGAGGGAAGCCTGGCGGGGGTGGTAGTGGAGGAGGGAAGCCTGGCGGGGGTGGTAGTGGAGGAGGGAAGCCTGGCGGGGGTGGTAGTGGAGGAGGGAAGCCTGGCGGGGGTGGTAGTGGAGGAGGGAAGCCTGGCGGGGGTGGTAGTGGAGGAGGGAAGCCTGGCGGGGGTGGTAGTGGAGGAGGGAAGCCTGGCGGGGGTGGTAGTGGAGGAGGGAAGCCTGGCGGGGGTGGTAGTGGAGGAGGGAAGCCTGGCGGGGGTGGTAGTGGAGGAGGGAAGCCTGGCGGGGGTGGTAGTGGAGGAGGGAAGCCTGGCGGGGGTGGTAGTGGAGGAGGGAAGCCTGGCGGGGGTGGTAGTGGAGGAGGGAAGCCTGGCGGGGGTGGTAGTGGAGGAGGGAAGCCTGGCGGGGGTGGTAGTGGAGGAGGGAAGCCTGGCGGGGGTGGTAGTGGAGGAGGGAAGCCTGGCGGGGGTGGTAGTGGAGGAGGGAAGCCTGGCGGGGGTGGTAGTGGAGGAGGGAAGCCTGGCGGGTTGGGGCACTACGGAAATGGTTCATCATAAAGCTGCCTGGAACACAAAGCCTCATCAGGTGGTGGGACGGACGTACTCGCACACGCACTCTGGGGGTAAGAACACACACTTATATCACTACCCATGGCGGTCAGACTCAAGTGTGAATGAACTTGAGTATAAACTAACGGAATCTGTGGCAAGCAATAAGGGGATTATTTATAAAGGTTGCGGTGTAAGTGGGTGGCCCAGGTGTGTGTTTGTTAGTGTGTTTGTTAGTGTTAGTGAGAGAGATATGATGGAGGCGTCAGAGAGCAGGTGGAGGCGCGTCACGGTGTTGACAAGAGTACCGTGGTGACAGGATTACCTCGTGCTCATCCTTTAGGATTAAAATAATGTGACGTTACATTATTGAGGGTAGAAAGAGGATGATGCCGATTCTACTCAAGCTCGGGGAAGCAATCAAATCTTGAAGGATATTTCCAGTTTTATAAAACAAAGATTAAAGGGAAAGATGCCACTAAAAGATTAGGTCACTTAAGTGATTGTGAAAAATGGGTATCAAATAAAACTAGTGTGTTTGTATTGTGAGAGAGTTGGTTGATATACGCAGAGTAGGATTATAAAATAAGGAAAGGAAAGAAATAAGTTATGTAAGGTAATTTTTACAAAACCTAAACTTGGGTAAACAAACACACACACACACACACACACACACACACACACACACACACACACACACACACACACACACACACACACACACACACACACACACACACACACACACATACACATACACATACACACACACACACACACACACACATTACATTTGAGACCTGGCGAGATCACGGGGAGACATCTCCCGTCACGCAGGGTGCAGTCGCACCTCCACAGATCTCCCATATCAGCTCTTGATACTGGTAATGGCTCAAAGGGCCACCACTTACGGGCTATTCATGCCCGTGCCACCTTTTGGGTGGCTTAATCTTCATCAAACAATCAATCCTGGCGAGATATTTGAAGAATTCCCGCCGTCTAATTACTATTCAATAAGCTTTATCCTAGTATCAAGATGATTGCTAACGTAACACCAGTGCTTAAAACGGCAGAACAACGTCTTGCCTTCTAACTCCCATCCTATGAATATAACACTTTAGAAAATAGCTTGAAGCATTAATAGGAAGCTCGATTCGACATCACCTTGAAGTGCATAATATTACAAATAACGGGCAGCATATTAGTGCTTTACATGCATACTTTTGAGTCCTTCCTAGGCTGAGCAGGCAGCAGGTGGTCAGTGATGCTTGCCCTTCTCTGTGACGTACCTTGGCACCGGGTGAGGGCACGGATATTACCTGGAGTGATATACAAGTTATAAGTATCACATGGTTGATACCTGGTTGGTGGGGTTCTGGGAGTAGTTCTACTCCCCAAGCCCGGCCCGAGGCCAGGCTTGACTTGTGAGAGTTTGGTAAGATAACTGATAAGAGAGAGGTCAAGATAACCTCAAGATGGTCCACTAGGCCAATTTGGCTTGGAGCGGCCCGCAGGCCCACATACCCACCACAGCCCGATAGTCCGGCACTCCTGGGAGGAATAAATCTAGTTTCCTCTTGAAGATGTCCACGGTTACTATACACTTTATTGCATTTATTGTTGCATTTATTCACAGTGGCCGTTAGCGCACGAGTTGCGCGGGCTGGCGCACGAGTGTTCACCTCGTCTTTTGTGTGGAGGATTTGCTTGGATGATTTCCGTCGTCAGCTACTGGCTCTGTGGACGAGATCTGCAGTGACGCAGGCTGGTGGGGGGGGGGGGGGGGGGATGGCCTTGTTGGGATGCCTAAACAAGTTTAATTATTTCCTGGTGTACGACGTTTTTGGCCTCCAAGTAATTTGGGTCAGGTGTGTGTTGACACAGTCCCTGTGATGCAAGGCTTAACTGGGACTGAAACACTCGCAAACCATTGTTTTGAGCGTCAATGTTAGGTCTGTGACAGTTCAATAATTTGTTACGGAATAACCCAAAGATCTCGAGATGCTTGTCGGTATAAAGCCTAATATGATTTGGGAGTGCTTTGACTCGTAAACTCGTGTAAACGGCAAGAGACTGTACTCGCCTATTTGTCCTTGCAGGGGTTGGGCTTTGTCTCTTTGGTCCCGCCTCTCAACTGTCAACACACACAAAACTGTGTGTGTGTGTGTGTGTGTACTCGCCTATTTGTGCATGCAGGGGTTGAGCTTTAGGTCTTTGGTTCCGCCTAGGGACCAAAGAGCCCTAGTCTTTTAGTCCCACCCACTCCCCTGTGTGTGTGGGGGGGGGGGGTGGAGGAAGAGTCGTAGCATCAACTGCGTCTTCAAGCATGTTTAATGGCCGCACCTAGTTTCTGAATTTGGTCTTGATCCAACGTGAAAACACTGTTATACCTTTTAGTGTTTTTATTGATAAATAACCCAGCCAACGCGTGAAATTAGTGTGGAAGTTTGGGTCCGTGTTATACAGTGGCAAGTGATTAAGTCGTCCTTGAGGGAGGGACACGTCGTCACTTGCCTTTCATGTGTATGTTGTGTTGCCAGTCACGTTATTGTCACTTTTTCTCTGCATTTCTAATGTTTCAGTATAATTGTCTTCCGTCGACACTCGAAAAGTCAGTGGACTATGGGGAGAGTTACGAAGTAACCTGCGCTTTTGTACACTCCAGGTGTGTGCGCGCGTGTGTCTGTGTGTGTTCATTCACCTAGTTGTGCTTTCGGGAGTTGAGCTCTGGTTCTTTGGGCCCGCCTCTCAACTGTCAATCAACTGATTTTCCCCTAGCACAATATTGGGGGATAAATATAGCCTTAATCAATTTAAAGGGTTGATTTATTTGTTGGGATTGGTGTGGCGAGAGTTGTTACTAGATGGTTGACGGGTTGAGACGCGCGTGAACCTGGCACCTAGGAGGTCCGGCGCGCTCCTCCTCCCTCACGCGGCCCACAGGGTCAAGTCCTTGTGTACACGCCGGGGGGGTGACAGAACAATTCAGTACACAGTTTGTGCAACATTTGACATTGCCCCGATGTAGTGGACGCCCTTGGGATCAAAATAGGACGATGAAGGCTGTTACGAGGGTTGTGGGAGTTATTTTGAAGTGATGTTTGGTGGCCTCAATACTACCTCCTCAAGGCTCGCAAAACCGGATTCAAGTAGAGGCGCTGCAGGGGCACTAGCGCCAAGTGTTTCCTGTGAGTGGTGATACGGTCTAACTCAAGTTTATTGGATAACACTGTGCTTAAAGTATGGGCGTAACCTGTGTAACGAGGCACACTGTAAAAGTGTATTTGCTCATGGTGTGTGTGTGTGTGTGTGTGTGTGTACCTAGCTGTAGGAGCAGGGGTTGAGGTTTAGCTCCCGGGTTTTGCTGTACGTGTCGGTCGACTGATGTAGTTGATTCACAACTGATTCACACTTTTTTTTTAGTCAATAATGTCTGCATTTGAAGTTCTGTGAAGTGTGAACTCTTGTCTTTACTACAAGGCTTACTAGCTCAACCTAGTTCTTTACTCTTATACTGTAGGAGTTAAGATAGTAGTCTTCCTCTGCTACCTTTCTTATTTAGATATTAGAAAGGTACCCAGCTGTGCACGGATCTCCCCCTCTACCCCCCCCCCTCTCGCCTCTACCCCCCCCCCTCTCGCCTCTACCCCCCCCTCTCCCTTTCAACCTATCTACTCCATCTCCTCCTCCTCAAAACAAGCAACCTCGGGAAACGCCCATCATAATTTTGTGTATTATTAAGAACATGAATAAGAGTAACTGCAAAAGGCACATTGACCCATACGAGGCCGCTCCTGTTTGTGTACCTTGAGGTGCTTCCGGGGCTTAGTGTCCCCGCGGCCCGGTCATCGACCAGGCCTCCTGGTTGCTGGACTGATCAACCAGGCTGTTAGACGCGGCTGCTCGCAGCCTGACGTATGAGTCACAGCCTGGTTGATCAGGTATCCTTTGGAGGTGCTTGTCCAGTTCTCTCTTGAACACTGTGAGGGGTCGGCCAGTTATGCCCCTTACGTGTAGTGGAAGCGTGTTGAACAGTCTCGGGCCTCTGATGTTGATAGAGTTCTCTCTCAGAGTACCTGTTGCACCTCTGCTTTTCAACGGGGGTATTCTGCACATCCTGCCATGTCTTCTGGTCTCATGTGGTGTTATTTCTGTGTGCAGGTTTGGGACCAGCTCCTCAATTATTTTCCACGTGTAAATTATTATGTATCTCTCCCGCCTGCGCTCAAGGGAGTACAGATTTAGGCTCTTTAGTCGGTCCCAGTAATTTAGATGTTTTACTGAGTGGATTCTAGCAGTAAAGGATCTCTGCACGCTCTCCAGGTCAGCAATTTCTCCAGCTTTGAAAGGGGCTGTCATTGTGCAGCAGTACTCCACTCTAGAGAGCACAAACGTTTTGAAAAGTATCATCGGTATAGCATCTCTAGTGTGGAAAGTTCTTGTTATCCAACCTGTCATTTTTCTTGCAGTTGTGACGGCTACTTTATTGTGTTCTTTAAAGGTAAAGTCTTCCGACATGAGTACACCCAGATCCTTTACATTGCCTTTTCGTTCTATGTTATGATTTGCCTGAGTTTTCTACGTGATTTCTGTTTTTATATTTTCAATTTTTCCGTAGCGCATGAGCTGGAACTTATCCTCGTTAAACACCATATTATTTTCTGTAGCCCATAGAAAGACCTGATCTACATCTGATTGGAGGTTTGCCGTGTCCTCTATGTTGCCAACTCTCATGAAAATCCTAGTGTCATCTGCAAAGGATGATACAATGCTATAGGTTGTGTTCTGGTCTATGTCCGATATGTGGATGAGAAAAAGTACTGGAGCAAGCACAGTACCCTGGGGGACTGAGCTCTTCACGGTTGATGGGCTGGATTTTATTTTGGTGACTATTACACATTGGGTTCTGTTAGTCAGGAAATTGTAGATCCATCTGCCTATTTTCCCGGTAATTCCTTTTGAACGCATTTTATGTGCAATAACACCATGGTCACATTTATCAAAGGCTT